ATCTTAAGTCATATTTCATGTTTGGTTTATATGTAGTATAAATTCTCAATTTGTATCTCCTTGACCCCATTTTAGAGATTACAAATGTACACATGTTTCATATATGCACTGAGTAAAACATTGCACAAAATGGAGCATAGGCACTATTCACAATAACATCAGGGTTCTTTTCTGTGTAGCAATTTAATCAATGAACATATGGGCTTTGGTGCATTGGAAACCTATACAGAGGAACAAAAAATGAGCAATCTGCTAAATGCAGCAAACTGCACGGGCATCTGCATATAAAGAAAGTCAAGAAATCAACAATGGAATGCTAGGACACTGCTAATGTAACATACTGTTCCTCCACATACAAGCAAGTAATGCAGTACTCCCAAATCTGTGGAGAGATTCAGATGGAGAGAACTGCTCAAGCATTTCCACTTTAATGAGAGAGCTCAACATATGCATAGTGTGGATCATAAATCTTGTCTGTGGGCATAGAAACAAAATAAAACAGAGAATTCCCTTTGCATTTCTATGAGAACTACAGATATATAGAAACAGATTCACTCCAAAACAGCAAAGGCTTATGCAAAATGTATTCTCCTATTCAAGAGGTAAATATTCCAATAATATCTCTATTCCCTGATCACTGATTGTAATGAAATTCCAGACATGGAAAGTCTGCTGCTACCCTATTATATCAACATACAAAAATTATATGCCATAAAGAATAGCGCCTTGATTTTCTGGATTGACACTAACATATTGTTTATAAGCAGTGTTTGTGTTTAAACAAATAAGGGGAACATGTAAGTCAGCCCAAAAGCTGTGACAAGAATGCTAATAGAGCAGGCTAAAAATAATTCATTGAACTGCCATCTGAAAGAGTATAGAGCAGAACATAAATCAGGGTGGGCAACCTTTAGCTTTCATCCATTTTCATGCTGACCTGAGCCTAATTTTGAAAGTTTTCTAACTGTTATCATCACAGACCTTTGGCAAGAACAAAAAGGTAATAGAAAGATGGGAAAGAAAAAAAGGGAGAAATGGGTTGCCATAGCTTGGAAACAGTCTGAAGAGAACCAACAACAGAAGCTCTCTATATAAGACAGTTAAGAGCTCTAAGATCTTTGAGAAAATATTTTCTGCGCAGCAAAAACAGATAATTTGCTGTTTCCTGCATAGAAAATCCAGAGAAAAATGTAATCTTTGCTCAGAATAAGTCCTAAACTGCAAAAGTTCTCATCAATGCAGAATTCTTCTCTTTAGGATGGATTTCTGAATACTGGAAAACATGTTTTTCAGCCATATTGTGAATATTTTATAATATTACCAGATAGTACCTACGCCCGAACCTCTTGATACTTTTGTGTTTTCCTGAATATTTTCTTCCTGTGAATCCATTAAATGAGTTGTATTGTGATTCTAATTCAGAGAATAGAAAAACTGTTATTCTCTAAATGATAAAGATTATTTAGATTTATGGGCAAAGTTCTTTATCAGTGAGATATTAGCAACAATTTAGTGCAACAATATAGAATAAGCCATGATCATCTAAATTGATGTGGGCAAGATGTAGCCCATGAGCAGGCTAAAAGGATTTTTAAAATGGCAAATCAAATATGTTTTCTTGTGGGCTGTTGGCCTTTTTTCCTTTTTTTTTTTAAAGAAAAACCCAATGTTCTTTTCTGGAGTGACTCCAACATCTTAGAGCCCCTCAAAACAAGCTTCACACCTCAAGGTGTTTGAGAAGTCACTCCATAGTGTTGACATGATTCATTGGGCTATCTCACCCTTAACACAGGGCCAAGCCACTTAACACAGTGCCAAGCCACTTAACACAGTTTTGTTCTGCATTAGGTAAAGTAGCTCCATACTTTGATTCCGAACTGGACCCACTTTTCATGAGGGCAAATGCCAACATCCCACTTTCCCAACATTCCACAGTGTAAGGAAAATGGCATATTTTTCATCTTCTTGCCTGCCCCACACTGTTATTGGCTTGATGCATCCTAATTGGTACTGGCATTTGTCAATTAGCAGAAATGTGGATCTGTGGATAATCTTTTGTTTAGAATAAGCAGGAAGATGAGACTAGTGAAGACTAGGCATGTCTCATTGTCTGCCATTTATTGCCAGCTAGCCTAATGGCTTTGCTGATGGGAATATATCCGTGAGCTCATCCAAGCCCCACCCCCCACCCGCCGCTCCACATTACATAATACCATTTGAAACTGCATATAATACAGCTTAACTAGAACAAAGTGTAGATGAGCCCTAAGATTTCTCCTATCCAATCACATCAAGAGATCTGGCCAGGTGGACTCAATTCTTCTTACTTTTGCAAATGGGCTGTGAAAAAAATAACCATATCAAAAGATTTTGGGATGGGTTGTCACACAAAGGGGTGTGTTCCTTCTTTAGAGACATCCTGTCTGAATTTATAAACTGGCTTTTCATAGGTTATTAAGTAGAACAGAGATGTGGCCTAATTTGAAATCTAACCTGACACCTTCTCTTCAGAGCACGAATGGGATGGACAAAACTCCATGCAGTTTTCAGGCACCCGAGAGAAGCACCGACAACCCATCAGAGAAACAATTCTGAGGTCTTTTTAGGAAGCAAGAGAGGTTACAAAACACAGGGAAATGGTCCAGGTGTCTCAAAATCACATAACCTTGGCTACTACATTGAAACACACTAAGACCAATGACTTTGCATTCTGAGACATTCTCTAGAAAATCCTCACTCCTATCTATAGGTTTTGGATGCAGTTTTTTCATCGCCACCCAAAATTAAATAGATGGAAGATATTGGCAAAATGTTAATCCTGACATTTAAGTCAGTCTTTAATTCTTCTTCGTCACACATGTGCATGGTTTTCTAGCATTGAAGCTTTTAACTATCAAGACAAAGTGCAGGACTTTCCATACAAGCATTCTTGAGCTAAAGTTCATCCATTATTATTACTTGACCCAAAGCAATTTTTTCCTAGCATAACTTATGCTACCATCCAGTTTTATATTGATCTTACCACCACAATATTATTGAATACTCCATTCATGCTTCAAATGCATGCAGAATCTTTATTATTTAGGGATTAGTATGTAGTGTGTTGTTTGCATGTTTGAGCATGTAATCATTATGAGAAAGCAGTAGCTAGTCACAAAGAGGTGTGCCACTGTGTACTTTGTAAACAAGTTTGTGGTCATACATTATTTTTTCCTCTTAAGCATAAATCTCATAATTAGTGTTTAATGCTTATTTGCATTAATTCCCTTTTTTACTGTCAAAATGGTGAAATAATCTGTCTCATTACATATGCAGCAGCTTGTCTTTTTCTTCTCATGCAGCAGTATCATAGAACACCCTTCTCTTTTAATTTCTGGGCAAGTGGAAAATTGGTGTATAATTGCCAGAAGGAGGGAAATAGTTGGTAGCCATATAACGATTTCTCTGCATTGCTTGTTATCAAGAGTATTTTCAATGGTAAAATTAATTTCATTTCCTGTAGCTGTGCTGGCAATAATAAATCAGACTCTTAAGTCACATATATCTTTGCAAATGGTTACAGATGAGAGTCTGAAAGACACACAGTTTGGTCGTCTCCCCAGATGTTTTAGCATTGACTATCAGGTAGCACTAATTCCTTTCTGCGTGCCTAATTCTCATTTGTATGAAAATCCAGATAGAAATGAAAGTAATGTATTAGCTGTATTGGAGAAAATGTTAAGTCAATTATACTCCTGCAAGATTTATAAGAACTAAAGTGAGTATAAATTTGAATTGTCAAAGGAAATTTTACATGCATTAACCACTCAGTAAAATCCATCATATGTATTTAATTATGTACTGTGTTTTGAACTGCCATCTCAAGGCAGTACAGAAGAAGAGTTTCCTTAAACTACTGTTCGTAGACATTGTTGTGAATTATACATGTAAAAGACTCTGTGTTTTCAACAGTTGAAATGGCTCAGAATAGCCTCCAGCCTTTCCACCGCCTCTTTCTCTCTCTTTCTCTTTATGTGTGTGTATGTGTGCTTTCTTGTCCCAGCTGTGAGAATACTCTCACATCTGCTTGTAGTGATACAATGCATGAAAAGCAAAATAATATTTTCCTCGAAAATGTTGATATTTGAATAAAAAAATGTCTGCAAACTAATACAGATGATCAATGACAGTCATAGGAAAATTGCAGATTAAAACAACAACAGTACAATAGATGCGGTCCCTGGGATCAGCCTCAAAAAAAGCCTTTCCTCTTTATGTATGTGTGTGTGTGTACAAGCAGTTGTGAGAATAATACACACACACACAGACACACACAGACACCTCCTTGGGACAACTGTCTACTCAATAAGAAATGAGATAGTGAAACAATAAACAAATTCCTAATGGGTTGTTGTAGGTTTTTTTGGGCTATATGGCCATGGTCTAGAGGCATTCTCTCCTGATGTTTCACCTGCATCTATGGCAAGCATCCTCAGAGGTAGGATGCTTGCCATAGATGCAAGTGAAACATCAGGAGAGAATGCCTCTAGACCATGGCCATATAGCCCAAAAAAACCTACAACAACCCAGTGATTCCAGCCATGAAAGCCTTCGACAATACAAATTCCTAATGATTTTCTACAACAAAATAGTTGTCTCAAATTGTTATTATGTAGACACATTAAGCATTTCCATTGGTGAAGACTTGCTCTCTGATGAGAGAAATGCTTCTGAATAGGATACAGCCTTACCTTTGGGTCTCTGCATTATGAACATAACTTGGTTTCACAGTATGTGTTTGGATATTGATTCCTGACTTCTTCAGTAAAAAGTTCTCAAGAAGTCAGACTATTAAAGGATTCAATCTGGGTGCCTGGGTGCTAGTTCTGCAGTTATTTCACACTTGAAATTTGTTGTCATTTCAGCATTTACACTTGAATTTTAGAATGTTTGACTTTTTCATGCATTTTTGAGACCTGACTTTGAAAGTTCCTTAAATTGATCCTCCCCTCCCCATACAGATGATTTCTGTGCAGCCCTGGCTCCAGGATTGGGCTTTTCAGCCTGGGGAAAGACACATAGCTCCGGTATGTATGTGCTTTTCCTCCTCTTGGATTGCGACAATAATGGCCAATTACTGTTTTTCCCCCCTGTTGTTGCTTCTATGTGCACAAAACAATGACTACAAAGTGTCTTCCTCATGTTGTCGCAAAGCAAATAAATCAGTTTCATACATATGTAACACATAGAATTGTTTTATTTGATCCATTGTATTCTTTCAGAATTTTGTTTTGAGGCAGCCCATTGCTTTTTAAAAATTAAGGGTGAATTGAAAGGGAAGTGGAGTTTTGTGAATAATGTTCTTCCCTGTAGAAAGCATCTCTGGCTCTTTGATACTGATCTAGGTGAAGGATTATAAACTATATAATTACTATTTGGGACCACAAGAAATGTAATTAAGCTACATTTGGATACCGCTATAACCATTATGCTACTATTATGTGAAATCCAGACTGGTTTGTGAGGATGGAATTATACTTGGGTGTGATGCATACAATTCTCTGCTCAAGAGCTTCACTCCTCTCCCCTGAACTACAATGAATTTTAAGTACTATATGAAACTAAAAATGCCATACTTGGATACATTAGAGGCATGGTAATTAAAATAATACCAGTCTGCCATAATTATGTAGTACAGATGTGTTTATAGTCAGGATGGCTTTGTTTTTTAATGTATTAAAATAATAGCTCATACGAATAAGATTTCTATTTGAATGTTCAGCACAAGCATAATAAGATGCCTTTTTAGTAGGCATCCCACCAATATGAATAGTAATGATTGGAAGACTATTTGAAGATATTTTAAAAGTGGCCAAAAATGTGTTTCTCAAGTTCCAGGAAATTCTAACAAGAAGAGTACTGGACTGATTGGAATCTTACTCCATAGCAATTCACACATACCTATTTTGCAAAGAAAACATTTTTAACAAAACTAATATGCATATGGAGAAATATTATTTTCTGTATATAAAATGCTATGGTATTTATTATATAGAAGATATTGATTTCTATGGAAAAGAACCTGCTTATGAATTTTTTGCAGAATAAGTCCTGAGCTGTGAATACTCTTCAAACATTGGGTGGTTTCTGAAGGCTTTGGCCCCATCCAGACATTCCCTTTATTGTGGAAACTTCTTCAATGAAAAGAGGACTGTCCAGGTGACATCCTGGCCAACCAGCAATTAATTCACCACAAACCAGGAAAACCCTGGTTTGTGGCGAATTAACTTGATAGTGGATTTATTCTGCACCTTCTTGGGAGGCTCAGGATAAACCCACTATTTCCAGTGTCTGGACCGCAGTCCAGACACCATTCCCACAGTTTTCTGGACTAAATTAGTCATGAAAACTGCGGGAATCCTCCCCACCCCTCCCCCAAAGCTCCCAAACCCCTGTTAAAAGTAAGAAAAACTTACCCAGCCTCCATTACAGTGTTACTGGAGCTCTCCCAATGTGTAGAAATGATGCACCAGGAGAGCTGGGGGGGGGGAGCAATTGGGTATGGATAAGGGCCCAGGAACATCCACTTTTTTAAAACACAGATGCTCCTGGGATAAAGATCTGTGTGGAAGCAGCCTTTGTCACAATAAGAAGGAAGTTGTTCCTTCCATCAAAAGGAAAATTAGCAATGAATTCTATTCCTACTACAAAAGAAGCAATTAAAATGGAACTCGATCTACACTGCCATATAATGCAGTGGTTCTCAACCTGTTGGTCCCCAGATGTTTTGACCTTTAGCTCCCAGAAATCCTAACAGCTGATAAACTGGCAGGGATTTCTGGGAGTTGTAGGCCAAAACACCTGGGGACCCACTGGTTGAGAACCACTAATATAATGCAATTTGGAACTGTATTATATGGTCAGTGCAGACTAGATTATATGGCAGTGTGGATGGGGCCAGAGTACCTAATAATTCAATGTTCTGTGGCTTCTGAAGACAGATGTGTTCCGCAAGTAAACTTTGAGAAAAACATTTTTAAGTCAAAGAAGCACACATGGGGAAATTCCATAATTTTATTTGTTATGGTAGCTTTTCCTTGAATAGTTAAGGTAATTACATTGACTGATTAGTGCTAGCTCAAATAAACAACATGCTAATCTAAAGGGATAGCTTAAAAAGTACAGAAAAGGCCCTGTCAAAGAGTACTTTTTGGGGAAGAGAAGATTCTACAAAGAGACTGGATCAAGTCTCTGAATATGCTGTTAAGAAGCAAATGTTTCATTGTGAGAAATGCAGTTTATCTTTAACAAAAGCACAGTATGGATTTGAGAGGAGGACAATGGAGTAATCATATTCTGTTTCATACGTCTAGGTGACACCAAGAAACTAGTCAAAATCAACTGTTTTGTTTTTGTTTTGTTTTTTTTAAAAGTGTTAACATCAGATTTTAGACTCATTTTTTTATTTCAAAGCTTATTGAAAAGAGGAAAAGCAATGGTCTTAGTCTCTAGATTGGTATGTGGTATAGTTATTTCTTGTTTGAGCAGTGGAAAGGCAAGAAGGAATTTAGAACACAGCCTCCAGCAATTATCATCCCTGTGGAAGATTCCAGTCTAATTAACGGGGAAGAATGCTTACTTGACAACTATAGTTGGAAAATTTCTTTAGTAGTATGTGTCCCCGTGATGCATTATTGTACCAGAAATGGCATCTCTCAATTATTTTGCCTTTAACTTAGAAAAATGTCCAGTTGCCTGGAAATGTTTGGAGCTTAAATGATTCAAACATCATATTGACTCATGGTGAAAGAAAAAAAAAGATGGAAAGGATATGTAAGAAAGTTCACACTACAAAATTGTGATAAATGCCCCCCCCCCCCAGTACTTTCTGCATTTTCTCAAACGATTGATATCAAGACTGCCACCATTTTCACTTCTCTTTTCAGAAAATGAATAGTAGTGATGCAGACCTTATTCTTCCCCAGTGGATTTCAGATTTACTCACTAGGACCTCATGGCTCATTGGGTTAAGGCACAGGTAGAAAATTGCTTATGGCTCCCAACAAGCTTTTAACCTCTAAACCACCTTTGCCCTAGAGCATTTTAGATTCTTTCTCTGTGTGATCGTAACTCTTCCTCTTACATCCACAATAATGAACACAACATCCTTGATTGGGTTATAAAAGACCACAAATTTATTTGATAGCTTTGGGTCCCAGCATCGGCCAACCTGCTTGCTGGTCATATGCTGCCATAGAACACCCCGGTGCCAGTTATCTATCAGAATTACCTGAGGAAACCTGCTGGGCTGACCCAGTCACAATCTGTCTCTGGAACTGGGTTTTGGGTGTGGCATGAGTCTGCCTTTTGCATCAGCAAGATATCACCTGAATACACCCAACCCCCAAACCCACCCCACCATGGGATCTCTGAGTTGCCAGTTCCCAAATGCACTGGCTCCTTGATCCCTGAATCAAGATGCATGCCAACCATAATCTAAATTTGTCACTGATACAATATAGTTAAGCAGATTGCATAGAGAGAGGAGGGTGGGTAGAAAGTATCCTCCAAGTGAATGGGCCCCACTCCTCAGCTGGCTTAAATAGTCTCTCTACAGGCCATGGGGAAAATTCCATCCAGGTACTTGTGTTCTCGCAGAGGCTGTGTGCCAGCCAATGAACACTGCACACTTTCTAGACACTCATTTGTCAGCTGCTGTTCTGGAGCTGCCAACCCACCACCCAAACTAGAAGCAGCATGGCATCTGGTATGAGAGAGCTTCATCTCTCTTCCCTAACAAAGGAAGAGACATTCCACAGCCATCCTGTGCAGGCTGCATCCGAATCAGACACTTATAATGATGTAAGTGTGAAAGTACATATGTACATGCAAAATTCAGTCAAGAATATATTTTCAAAGCAGACAAAAAACGTATTTAGTGCAGCATTCTGTTTCTAGACTGCCTCACCATTTGTAAATAGTATATTAAAACCCTTTTCATATCCCTATCTTGACTACAGAAATAAAACAAAGCTTGTTTCTGCTGGCCTGATGAAAAAATACTTAGGAATGGATGCAATGCTTTAAAAATAAAGTCAAAAGAGCAATTGGAATCATACATTTATTTAACTTTCTGTAAAATGCTGTTTGTGTACATACTAGCCAAATGTCATACTGCTGGATAATTAATCTTCTGAATACAAACCAGAATCTTCTAGGCCAGATTGCACAGAAAAGCAGACCTGATTTCTGTTTTGATAAACTGAGCCTTCTTACCCTGAGTTCAAGGATGAGACTGGGCCACCCTCCAAGATTTTTTAAAAATCATTTAAAACTATATCAAAGCTTCATAGTTTCTTGAAGCTAGCAAAAGAACTCCACAAGAAAGTCTTCCTCATGAGCAAGGCATACCTCACCAACTGGATTTCTACCTATATATACAGCTAAGGCTTGAGTGGGACTTTTGAAAAATCAAGATTCTTGCGAGTCTATTGGAAATAATGTTTGCATATAAGTAGTGGCAGTAGTTTTCGAAGATATTCTTCATGGCAGACCCTCAAATATATGTGGATTACTCTTTTTTAAACTAGTTGCTCTCTGCTTGGACCTTGTCACATTATTCTTTAGACCAATGTAGGACTTTACCATCTAGCAGTGGTTCTCAACCTGTGGGTACCTAGATGTTTTGGCCTTCAACTCCTAGAAATCCCAACAGCTGGTAAACTGGCTGAAGGGCAAAACACCTAGGAATCCATAAGTTGAGAACCACTGCCATAGAGATCCACATAGAATAGTCTCTGTCTGAGATAGAACACCAAATTCCATCTTGTCTCCATCACCTGATACAGTGGGTCATGGGTATCCGCTGGGGCTTGGTTCCATGATTCCCTGTGGATACCAAAATCTGTCGATGCTTAAGTTCATTCCAATGGTGTAGTAAGCTGTCCTAAATATAAAATGGCCAAATCAAAATTTGCTTTCTGGATTTTTGAAATATTATAAAGCCATAATTCATGGATACAGAAACAATAAATACAGAGGGGCAACTATATCTTCTGCATAGGTACTTATGGCTTTTTCTGGATTA